ACAGAATCTTGCCAGACTAACTCTACACTATAGCAACTAGTGGATATACCCCGTGATACTCTAGGGAGGGGCTAGTCTAAACCTCTTCTTCTTCTCAAGGTCTTGCTGCAGACTCAGAAGGCAGTTGCATTGTCCCCTTCTCTCCCTCCTGACAGCCTTGATCTCCCATACCAGCCTCCTCCTCGCAGATACCTTCCGTTACATGATGATCACATTCAAAATATTGTAATGGCAGAAAATCTTATATCTGGAAGAGCGCTCCATTCTGTTTAGTTCTTAACTAGAAGCCTTCCAAGGTCTTGATCTAGGGTTCCTGGATCATAGAAACAGGTGTCTTGCAACTATTTTTCTGATGAATATAATACTTAGGGTTTTTCCCACTATTGAATTAAAGTGCTATCCACTCATCCTTGAACTGGAACAAAATAATGCTGATATAAAATTTACTGTCCCCATTGTTAATCCCTTTCTTGCCTCCATTGTATCTGTTCTGCATCACTGCAAGTGATTTGTGAGTATGCCAGTCATTAAAGGCAAAGTGACTGTTTTTGTCTTATGACTATGATTTTCTCCTATGACTTTGCTACTGTCCCCTTTCAGCATGTCACTAGCCTGCCAGGGAAAACATCAAGTACTCAGCACTGCAGCATTAATGGGGATGGTTTGACTTTGGGACCCTGCCTTCTGGTCATTTGGCTGCCTTTCCTCTCATTTCCCAAGTTAAAAAACAAGGTGTAATAAGGAAACTGGAAGATGCCAGGGCAGAAGTAGACTTAGAGAGGATGATGACAGACTCTTCCATGATCATGGAATTAGGTAGGTTCTAGAAACTGGAGCCTAATCATACATATATACCACAGGACAGCCAGTTTCAACAGACTTGGAGAAATACTAGATGGGATCTCATCAGTAGAAATCCTCAAGCCAAAGGGAGTGTGGGAAGGTTGGAAACTTCTCAAAAGCAAGAAACCAGAAAGTTCAGTTACACACCATTCCAATTAGCTGGCTAGGGTAATGAAGGCTGAATTGCTCTGAGTTTCTCACACTTCCCCTGGGCTAAGGTGTCTTTTTGACAACAGTCCTGTTTCCTCCCTGCCAGACATTGAAGCTGGGTGTCTGTTAATCAGGGATGCTGTGGTAGGGATTAACTGCACTAGACAGGGAGATTGAACTAGATACAGTGCTCCCTAAGTTCCATTCCAAACCTTACATACCATCATTCCATAGAGAGGGTTAATGGAAACTGACCAGGGGAGGAAGGAACTGATTGAAGTTGAAGCTGACAAATATTAAGCAACTAACAGATAAACCACAAAGGCCAGTTTAAAATCCCTCATTATTATTTTATGAATATAGCAGTGAGGTAAAATAGGGCTGCTACTTCTAATGGTAAAGATCCTCACTGAGGCCATTTCAGAAGAAGAATGATACAGAATATGCCCTCTTCCCCAAATAAAACAGTGGAAGTCTTTTAGTTTCGAAGTACTATTAATGTGGAACACTTTTAATACATCTCTTCCATCCCAAATAAAATAGTGCAGCTTTGCTCTGTTCTACTGTGTTGGAAGTCTGGAGAAAAGTTGGGGAAGGGGAAGGGGAAAGGTTATGGGTATGAAAGGAAGTCCAGAAACAAAGTGCTAATGGAGAAAGCAAACCCTGGGAGAGAAAGGGCTACAACAGATGCTGGTTTGTGACCAGAGGGAAGAGGGTATATTCATGGCTCCTAACATGTTCAAAACATCTCCAATCGTACCCTTAAGTCACTTGTTCTCGACTCCAAGGAGCTGCCTTTGAAGACCATTTGGAAGCTCCAATTGTTGTAAACTGCAGCAGCCTGCTTGTGAGTTGTTTGTTGCAGTGAGCATGTTATCTTGTGCTGTGGGCCCTGCGCTGGCTTCCAGAAGTATATGGTTTGATGCCTAGGTCACATAAGGGCGGTTTTCTCCAACCAGAATTAATTCACCCAGTTTCTTCTTCCTGGGAAAAACTGCTACTAGTTCCTGCCTTTCATGAGGTGATGAGAGCTCAGGCCTGGCAATGTTGTTTTTCAGTAACAGCACCTGGCCTCTGGAATATCCTCCCTTAGAAATTAGATTAGCCTCCTCTTTCATTGCTTTTTGAAAACGGAGCTCTTATGAAGAGTGGAGGAAGATGTTTCTTGTTTTGAATATTGCTGTTGCTCCATGTCAAATTTTTCCTTCACTTAATTAAATAGTTTTGTTTACCTTGGACAGTTTAATTATGTTGTATGCTGGGTTTTTTTTTTTAATTGTTGTTAACCACTGGGAGTCCCTGTAGATTAAGCTATATACAAATTTACTGAACAAATAAACATGTAACAAAGGGTTACAGATTTGATCCATCTTGAGGCTGTGGTGGGATAATGCCAGCTGCTGGAGGAAAGTATGACCTTTATACTGGTACAGCTAATGACATTTTTGGCTTCTTTATTCATGGGCTGGGAATGAGATGAGGACAGTACCATGCTGGCAAGGGAGAAGACGGCTCAATGAGATGGGATTGTGCTGGGGCAAACGGCAAGTGGGGATAAGGCTTGAATTAATGAGAGGTTATTTTCCAAGTATGGCCTTTATTAGACAATTATGTATGAATTTCACATGATCAGGCTATTGTATCTTCCATTTGTAACCATCTTCTCCCTTTTTTTTTTTCCTTATCTCAGAACATCTATTAAGGAGGGAAAGACAGAATATCTGCAGATGGACCTTTGAATGGTAACACTAGGACCCGTTGGGAAGCATCTTAAAATGTTGAGAGCAGTGTAATGAAATTAATTGTAGAAGAAGAATTGGTTGAAACAACAAGAGTTTCCAGGAATATGGACTGAAATGTTATAGCCTATTTAAATGGCCTGGAAATCACTTGCATTATTTTGAGTGGTTGTTGCTCAGGGCTCTGCTAAGCTGTCTGTAATGCATCAGTCCTTTTTCTTTTAAAATTGAATAACAGTTGGTTTTTATATGCTTTACATGCAAACGTCTGATTGCTCTGCAGTGGACGGTCTCCACAATCCCTCACCCTTGAGCTGCTAAAAGAATATGGCTTTGATGAAGTGAATCCTCCACCTTTACGACATGCATGTAACATCACAGTCCCTGGTGCTGCTGCTGGATGGTGTGATGCTTTCACATTGTACGGAAGCAAAAAGGTGAAACTCAAGCTTGCTCAAAACACCAGTTAGTGTTGTCGTTTCACAAATACGTTTGTATTTTTTTTTTTAGAGCTGAATTTGCTTTTTCTCTATTTGCACACAATTTCTTCTGCTTGTTTAAGATATGGGGAAGGGCAGGCAAAAGAATAGGCCATTGTCCTCTCTTCTTCCAGTTTTAAAAATAACACTCAGCTTCTCATTGTCGTCCACTGAGATTTTACTAATTTCCTTTATGTTTTCAAAGTAAGATTACGCTCTGCCCATATTTAGATTAGATCTCATACATATGAAACCAAATCGTAGATTTCATACACGTGATTGCATAGGAAGGAAGTAATGCCCTTTGAAATAGATCCTGATAACATTTATTGCCATGAAATATCATGTTAGTTTGAGATTTAGAAGAGGATAATTTGGAGGATCTCTCCAGAAACCTAAACCTTATGAGTTTTAATATTTTATCCCACTGTATTAATTTTCCATCTGTTTGAGAAAGCTGTAAAGCCCAGTTTAATCCTTTATGCTGATTCATAACTCCTCTCAACCCTTACACCTTTTATTGTAGTTCATATAACACACTTAACCAGGTCAGCTGAAGACTAGGTGACTGCATGCACATAGTGTGCTAAGCTTGATTAGTTTTAGCCTTGGCTTATATGATTCACTGTATTGTGGAAATCTTTATAACTGGTGTATTTAATGATGTGTTGATGGATAACAATGCAACATTTCTTGATTCAGCTTTCTATGGAGCAGATTTTGCAACCAGCAATAGAAATGGCTGAGAAGGGCTTTCCAGTATCTGAGATTACTTCTTATCAGTGGAAGCAAGATGCTCATGTTCTTCAGTCACCTGGAAACCAACATGGGAAGGACCTGTTGATCAATGGTGAAGCACCCGAGCATGGCCAAATCTTCCAAAATCCTTTTTTGGCAAACACTTTTAAGGTAAAGAGAGCTGCACTTCAGTGCCTCTGAAGGTTCAGAGCCAATTATGTATTAAATTAGTAGAATCCTGTGATTGTAACAACACACCTTTTGAGTTGTACCGTTGGATCAGCTGTGTCATGTATCATCATGGCATTCATGCAGATTGTTACAGAACAATTGAAATATATTTACTTAGATCATACAGAACACTAAGCCATATTGTGATTGTTTTGGTCTTGCACACTCTGTGAAACCACCTATGAAGGCGTCTCATGTATGAACTAGACCATTATGGCTTGTTCAATAAACCATGGTTAAAATATATTGTAGCATTATATATACATGCAGCCAGTATGAACATGTATGTACCTGCTATTCACATACACTACACATATATTTTATGCATACTCACTCACTAACCCACCAGTGAGTTTATCAGTGGAAATCAGAGATCTTGAGCAGAGTTATTGGGAGGGAGCTCATCTACCTCAGTCCCTGCAATTATTGCACACAATTAGCTTCCCACTGCTACCAACATTAGCCTAATTTTTGGTTGCCTGGAAAAGCAGATATTCTGGATGGTTCTGCAGGCTGTATTTTTTGCAACCAACTTGTGGGTCATCCACAACTAATATACACTGAAGTTGGTTGAAGAGTTTTATGTCTGGAATATATGAATTTCAATGCAACATTGAGAGAATCAGACTCTCAGCATTGTGTGAAACTCATTCTGCACAAGCTTGCAAAGAGCACAACATTAGATTCTAGTGTTTTGGGTACACAGTTTCAATGATGAGTTATCTCTTATCTCTTTCAAACTCTAATTTGAAAAGGATGTTAAATGTCATTTAAGAAGTGATCTTTTAATTATATCTTGAACACAGAGAGGAATCAGAACAGTATTCAGCATAGAATTTGACCCTGACTGACCCACTTCTGCTGCCTGGCTCCTTCTGGGTCTCTTGGTTGGAACCAAGATATATAGTCTTTGAGAAATGTTGAAGGCTGATATTTATCAAAAGAGGAATATTTCATGTGATGCAGGAAAATTAGTGGAGCATGGCAATAATGTACATCAAATTTAATTTTATTTCCACAGCAATTGAATTTGCTTCCTGGCTAACTTAGTTTTGAAAAACGTAAGAGATTAGGAAGCCATGTCTGGATGCTATTCAGCAGCATCTCCCAGTTTCATTTTTTAGCTAATTATAAATCTTAGTATCCTGGTCTGACAGATACTGCTTTTTAACCTAATTCTGAGAGTTATGTAATGTTGAAAAAGCGTTCAGGGATAAATGCCATAGAAATCAATACATGGCGCAGGGTAAAATGTATAGATGGTGTTAGATTGTTTATTTTTTAAACTCTTTTTTGGGCGGGAGAGGCTTATTTGCTTATCCATTTTTCAATGTGCATTCAAGTTATTTTATCAAATGACACATTTATAATTATTTTGTTACTTCCCCCCCATTTCTATGCATCTATATATTCCTTGCATTTAGAGTAATGTGGAACTTTCATCATCAGTTTTACAAGATGAGAATGTTGTTTAATTTAAGAAATATTCAGTCTGTCGGCTGAGAGTTGCTAGCAGAAGAATCTATGGATAACTATATTAATGTGGACAGGAGGAACATGTAGTTGTATGTTTTGCTTGGAATCATATTGTGCAATGTAGGGTTTGGAGTGCAAAATGGGGAAAAAGTAATGCTGTGCACCAAAAACTAGGAAGGTAAAAGAATTCTGCTACAGGTCCTTTTGGAAGCAAATTTTGGTAGTCACCCTCAATCAGATTTTATAGAGACATACATAAGTGCCCTTAAGTACTTAAGTATCTTTCTCTGATCAAGAGTCTTTACAGGGGAGAATTTGGATTTGGTCTTGGATCATGAACTTTTACATGTCAGAAGAATAAAAGCAGGGGTTTCTGACACATAAAATTTCCTGGGCAAATTATATTAATAGCTTTGTAACTTAGATAGATGTGTACAAAGCCTCCATGTGTTGCAAATATAAATGCCAAAATTTTAAATATTTTTTAATTTACAGAGAAATTCATCAAATGGGAATACTGCTTTTCATGGACAATAAATAGCTTTTACTAATTCACACATACCTCCTTAAAATTGGACTATTTGTGTATTGATTTGATTTATGCCCCAGCTTTCTACTTAAGTGAGTACTCAAGGCAGCTAAAAAGGAAAATTAGCGAAGTGAATGATGCTAGACTAAAATAATCAGGCCTACAGTTTAACCCTGAGCTATATATATTCTCTTCTATTGGTATTACGTTTGTTTCTAATGCTATATAATATGTGACTGTTGAGAATTAATGTATTAAATGAAACTGTTCACCTATTCAGTTTCCTTAGTTGCTCGTCTCGTCTTATGTCAGAAATGCAGGAACTGGAAGGGAAATAATTATTAATCTAAATTAAAAAAAATTAAAAACTTCAATAAAAATATAGAGTTATATAATTCTTGCCCAATGCTGGGCCACATTGATGGCAAAGGTATTTCTGACCAGCAAGTCATTCTGTGTGCATGTTGCTAATTGCATCTTGTTAATATTTAACAATTCAGTGCCAGGTAGTAATGTACCACATCGTAAATGGGATTCCTATTTGGCTGATTATGTGGAATGATACATGTCTCTGTCTTGGTGGTACCAGGTACCAACAATTTGCCATTCCTTTTGAGTTGCTGAGAGTGACGTGGCTCTTTCTTAGAATTAGGTCAGAAGGCAGGGCAATTTCCTCTTGTGTACATAAGCATCACTTGTGTGGTTTGCCTTTTGAAGCTACTTATATATTGCATGCACTGTAATATTACAGTGACCTTGATAAACAATTATTGTTTTATTGCCCCCCATGAAAAAATGTTGTGAAATTCTTAATCTCAAATGACTATATAAAACTGGTACAGTTGGTATGAAATCCAAATTATTCTAGTCTTACAATTTTGTTTATGGTTCTAGTTCTAGCTTGAAAGAAAAGTACCATAGTTTGCCAGTTCAGAAGAAGCAGGAAAGGATGACTTGTTATAAAATAGGACATTAGCATGACGTACTATAAGATAGGACATTAGGATTCCATGGAATCATGGAAAGGAAGTGGCAGGGATAGAGGGATGTGCTTAAGTGCAAGTCTAATTGGCTTGATACCCAAACATGATTTTCTGTTATACATGAACCAAGTTATTTTTATGGTGTAATTCTCACTTGTTATACCAGCTGGCAGCCTTACTCAGGGATGTCTGCATAAGCAAGGAATCCGCAGTTAGATAAGTTTAGTCTCTTGGCTTATTGTACGCTTTCAGAAAACTGTAACTCTGCAAGTTGGAAACAAATAGTAATAACAAGCTACAGAGAAGATGACTGGGCTGTTTAAGGCCCAATTAACTGCTGAATTGTTCTAAACAGACTATACACTTTATGGCTGGGTTCCCACATTACACCAAGCCATAATATAGTGTATTTGATTTTGGCTTGACTGTGTTATGTAACCTCAGCCACTGTGATTTGTAAACCATGTTTTATGGCTTGTGTGAATCACCTATGGTTAATTTAGTATAACCATAATATAAAACATAATATACTATTCTATGGTATACTACCGTAGTATAAACGAACTATGGTTTAGCATGTCTTAACCCATCTGTGACACTCTCTTAGAAGTCAAAATGTTTTTTATGTTCCTTATAGTACTTGCAATATAGATTGAAAACATTTCTTAGAGAGCCTGCAACAAACTGACACTTTACTGGCAATGGCTGATGAATAAGAGACGTGCAACTTCATGTGATGTCAGAATAGATGCAGTTTCATTCATTTATTTTTGAAAATATGTTTGGTAAGCTACATCTAGACTACATTCTACAGATGGTTTAAATTGCTGTATACAGTGAGATTTCAGTCCTTCACCCCCAAATTTCATGCACATTTATGTAAGAATACCAAAATCTTGCATGGTCTTTCCTGAAATGTTAACAGAATGTTGGTGTTCTCATACTTAAAATCATGTGGGGTCTCATGCAAGAGAACTTTGACATGACATTTAGAGAGCTCATACTATTTTGGCAATTTTTTTCTAATGGTTAAATTTAACTTGGGGGGGGTATTTATATCATCTGGGTATATGTGAATACCTTCCTTCCAAAGCTATTATGATAAGTCAGTCTTATACTAGCATTTTCCAGAAGGATAGCTGTTTCTATATAATGTCTTACTATGTTGACTGAAGGATTCTTTTGCAAGCTGTTGCAGAAGTCTTGATGGGGGGCAGAGTGATGCTTGAAGTTGGCAAATCTTTTGCTTGCATGATTGCTGGTCATACATAGACTGATACAATAACCTTACTGTAGTAGGTCCACTGGCCCAGGTTCTTCTGGTATGTAATGTGTAAGCTACTAAGTGCTATAAACGATCAGAAATTTGTCAAGAGTCGTACTGCTTTTGAAGAGCTCATTACTTGCTAGTTTATTTCAGTACCTGTTGTTATTTCTATACAGGTAGTCCTTGTTTAGTGATTGTCTCAAACAGCAACCATTTGCAGTTACAACAATGATGAAAAAGTAACTTTGTGACCAATGCCTGTATTTAGGACCTTCGCAGCATCTCTCTGTCAGTCATATGCTCTCCATTACAGTCAGTTAGTAAGCTTTGTCCTGTGCCTAACCTGTTTTTTTCTTTTCCCCCCTTGCAGAGTGGAGAGATTGCCTAAACAAGCTATCTCTTCCTGAACTGCTTTTCTCCCTAGCTCATCACGTCCCTAAAAAGTGCTAGCTGCAAGTTAACAAGCTCAGGTTTGTGACCTTAATTAGTTGATTAGAATCCTCCAGCTGCTGACAGCTGCTGCTTGAACTTGACAAGTCCCTAATAAGTTTCACATTAAAGGCTTTTGTTTGCCCCCTAAGGCAAACAGTCAGTGCTAGCACATTCCTTTCAATGTGCATTCCCCATTGTGTGTCTCCTTACTCTCTTGTAATCCCTTCCTCTCCAATGAATGTAAATACAAACATCAATTCTCTTCTTGCTAATTATCCCAGTGCCAGGGTGAGCATTCTAAAGGGTGGGGGAGTGGGGAAAAAGGGGTATAAGATTTGCTCTTTTACCCTGGCTTCCTCGTGAGTTGAGTTCTGGAAACCTTCCCCACCATTTCTGCTCACCTGGCTGTTTGGGGTCATATCCTTCTGATGCTGTAAAGCAAAGGAAAGCTGAAGTAAAATCATAACCACAGTTGTGGTCAGGTGATTTTTCACTTAGTGACTCCTTTACTTAATGACTTAGTTAATGATCCCTATTTGGTTGCTAAATGAGGACTTCTTGTAGTTATGCACACAATGGATAACAAATGAATGTCTGTTTCTGATTTCAGTTATTCATTACAGTCTTTTAAGGGAAGTCATTTAAACATGCTCAGAATAATGACATCACAAATGCCATTGTTTAATTTCTTACTGCTTTTTGACAAAATGCCATGAAGTTGCATATAAACATTTTTTCAAATCTGTTGTACACTTATGCTTATCCTTATATTGAGGCAAATAAAAAGGAAAAGGGATGCCTTATAGATAGAGTGGCCAATCCAAGGCTTTTACTTTAAACATATGAATTAATGCTTAGGAATGAAGTTGGGTATATCAGAGTTCAGATGGTGAATACCATAGTGCCGCCTCTGATATAATAGGAGGTGCATTGTACTATAAATCAAGATGGTTGGGTTATATCAGCAATATTGATATTGATGCACATATGGAAACAAGTGATATGAATTAATGATATAACCCGAGGGTTTTAATTTAAATTTGGACTGAAATTATTGATTTCAGTTGGGATTATTCCATCTACCCTGTTGGACTGTAACCCAGGACAAACAGTGCTTCTAAATATGAGTTTTTATTCAGATCGCTGATATGCACACCTTTAGCATACCAGACATCTGCAAGCTAAGTGAGTCATCCAGGAAATGGGAAGGCGTAATATCATTTGGGTCACTGCAGAAATACACCAATTAAAAGTAAATTGTATAGATTGTATAGACAGCATAGTAATCTCTACTTTCCATGTTGTATATAACTGAAAGATGCCAAAGAAGCATTATGAAAAGAAGCCATTCAGAAATGCCCTCGAGGACATCACAGTTCTTTTGATTTTGTAATTTAGAGTCTTTTTTCCTCCCAGGAGTTGGCAAAATCTGGCAAAAGAGGGTTCTATGAAGGCCACGTAGCTAAAGCGATTGTGGATGTTATTCAGAGTAATGGTGGAGTAATGGATTTAGGAGACCTGAAAAGTCATGTCACTGAAGAAGTTGAACCTATTGTCACAAATTACAAGGTACGCCAGACTTAAAAAACTAACGTGAAATGCTTTGTGACTTGTGAATCCTTAATCCTAATAGATATAGAGATCTGATTTAATTATAAAGCTGAGGTGGTTGAGTTGTTAGTGCAACTGTAACCACCGGCTCCTCCTTCTGAGCTTGCTCCTTCTAGTGAACAGCTTGTTTTTTGTCATCCGTATGCAGGTACAGGCTGCATCTACCAAGAACTAACTAGAGAACCTGTTTTAGGTTTATGGCTGAATTTTCCAGATAACACACATAACTCAAACCCACCTTTGCTAACTATACTTTCCAGGGTATACAAGTTGGCACATTGGCACTAATCAGGCCCCTATGGTTTAATGTGATAGTTTAATGTGATAATGTGATAAATAGAAGTTTGAGTACTATAGAACCTAGATAGAAGTTTCAGGGGAATATAATGATTACTTCAAGTAACTGAAGTTTTATAAGTCTTCACTGTATTAGATTTCATTCTGAGCCAGAAAAAGATTTTGGTTACATACCCACCACTTCACATTGTGACCTGGGTTCCCAACCTCCACTTTTCTTCTAAACCCCACTTCTTGTGTGTGCTAGAATGAAAGGCTGACATGGCCCTAGGAAATATAATAACAGTGGACCTCCATTCTTCTTTCAGCCATTACTGTCACCAGCAGTAAGTGAAAGTTCAAGTGATGGAATGTAAAGGTGATTGGATGGTATGGAAAGAGCATTGGATGCTTATATGATTCTTCCATGATGAATTTTTCTCAGAAGTTTGAGGAAGTAATTTGGGTTTACTTCTAAAAAAGCAGCAAGTTGTTCTTAGCCTATTTGAATAGTTCCATAAAGTCTTGCAATATTCTATAGCACAGCCTTTACCAACACGATGTTACGCTACTCTAAGGAACAAAAGACCATACAAAACAGCACAAGTACAGTGGAAGCAAGAATGGCTTGCAAGGCTAGAAAGGTATGGAAAAGTATAGTGAATTATGTTGATGTAAACTAGATTTAGTTAGGTTTTCTTTTCTTTTATCTTCTGTCTTTAACTTTTTAGTTTATTATTTCTGACTCTTTTCCATGCTTTGCATAATGAATGGATGCATGTGTACTGTCCAGAAAAACTGAGAGTTGCAAATGAAAGTTGAAGGAATGCTGTAGTAGTAAAATATACTATCAGCTATGGAATATTAGTAAGCTGACAAATCATTGTCACTTTCAACACATAAAGGCATCTTTTTCATGAATATAACATAAACTACATATTCCTTGTATACCTATATATCTGTCTGTGTTTTATTCCATTACAGGTAGTCCTCATTTAGCGACTGCCTTGTTTAGCAACTGTTCACAGTTATGACAGTGATGAAAAAATAATGTTGCAATCAGTTCTTGCATTTACAACCTTTGCAAGTCTGTAAAGCAAAGGAAAGCTGAAGTAAGGTTGTAAAATTGTGATTTTTCACATAGCAATCGCTTCACTTAACAACTGAGTTGCTGGTCCCAATTGTGGTCACTAAACAAGGACTACCTGTATTCTTGTTATTAATTGTTAAAGATGAAACTCAAAACTTAGTAAAATCACTTAAATTAAATGGGACTTAACTTCAGAAACTACTGAATATGGACCAAAACCAAACATGTAAAAATCAGGAGACTGCTCTGCTTGGTAGTTCCCTTTTTCTTACCTCAGATATTTCCATAAACAAGAATACTTGACTCAGTGTGTTTTTCTCCACACTTCAAAAGAGTTATTTCCAGTCATATAGCCAAGACTAGAAAGAAAAGGAATTTTCCTTGCCAGGTCATTTTTGGGATTTCACTCCAGCCTTTGTTCTATAACCTCTTTTTGGTATTTTTCCCCTTAGCACTATCAATAAATCTTTGGCAAAGAATCATATCCTGCATGAATACAGATCTTGCAAATTAAACTCAGCTTTGATTGTTTCCTGTGCAAATGGGAAATAGAAGATTGGAGATCAAAACTTTCTGTGAAGAGTATCCTGCAACTGATGTAAATGGGGTGATATAAAACAAGTGTCCCTCAAAACTAGCTCCACTACTAATGTACAGTTTTATTCCTCTTTGAAGTTATAAGCTAAATACATATTGGTATGGTTGCATTGCTATCTTAAAGGATTTAAACTTTACATAATGAAGTAATATGCTGTTTTAAATACTTTATCTAATTTTATTGGTTTAATATATAAAAAAGAGAAGAGAGAGAAAAAGAAAAACCATTCTGTCACATGTAGATAATTATTCGGCTTGATTTTTATACACATCATTAAACCCTGACCATATGAAATAATACTTATCAGTCTTTCAATTACACTGATAGAGAGCAAACTCATAAAAGTGAACACATCTTTGTGATACAAGATTATACATCGGGATCATGCTGTCTTTCTACTTTTGGAAAGTAATATTTTTTTGCTGACTCTCACTCCATGTTCAGTAAATCCATAGTTCTACATACAGTATTATTTACAATATATAAATATCACTACCACCAACTCCATCTAGACTCTTGACAGTTTAAAATATATAAGATCCATAAAAATATAAAACATTAACTTATTTTCCCCAAAATTAAGCAACACAGGCCCTGCATCAGGGTGGTTCCTACATTCTTCAAACCTCAAAAGCCTTACAGAAGAGCCCTTTCTTGACTGCCTTCCAAAACATTAACGGATGGTGTCATTTGGATCTCTGGAGGCAAGATGTTCCATAAGAAAGAGGGCATACGGTGATACATTTCAAATTGTCGGTATATAATTCATAAGTACATTCTCACTGATCTTTGTAATATCCATATTAAGAAACCAAACAAGTAGTGGAGCAAGTACGCATAAGGATTGAACTGTGGAGTTCTGGGTGCTCACTGAGCTTGATTGCTTGCAGACGTTTCATTACCCAGCTAGGTAACAGCATCTGTGCAAGGGCCAAGAACTCCACTCAAGGATAAGCAATAACCTCACTCACCAAAAAAAAAAAAGCACAACAGCAGAGCTCATCTATAATAGTGGGACAAATATAAGATGTGAATAAATGTTCCCTTAACCATTTTAAACTTCCAGCATAATGGAGTTATTTGTCACTCCTTTTTAAACATCCCTGAAGTTTCTAATAAACATAAATATTGTTGAATTAGTTTCACCTTAAAATCGTAAGAAACTCTTAGCTTTTGATTTAATAATATGGAATATTCCAACTGTTTATTCCAGAGTTCTTGCAAATAACTACTCTAATAATTAAGTAATGTTCTTTTAATTGTTTATATGGACTCAACCAAAATATATTCCAGTGCTGATAGTAATTTGGAAGTTTTGGGTGCTGCTAATGCAGGTGGACTAATTGTGAACTCAAAATATGCTTTAATTGAATATATTGCCATTTTTCAAATTTAGGCAATTTGCATTTCTCTTGTAATAACTCAGACGGTTTAAAAGCTTGACTGCCAATAAGTTGATCTAAAGTATAAATATCTCTCATTTCCCATAACATGTTAATCCCTTCTTTCCAATGTTTTAGTTGTTGTATTATGAAGAGAGACCTAGAACTCAGTGACAAACTCATGGCAATATTGAAATTTATAGAGTTATGTCAATAAAATTTAGTACATGTGGTCTAAAACACTAAGGTAAGAATTGAAAGCTTGGACATTTATATTCTTCACGCCCAGTCAGAGGAGTCAAAGGAAACATGTGAATGTAACAATAAAGCAGGGTGTAACTATTTCTCAGGTACTTCCAAATGGATTTTGTAGCAGGCAATCTTGTAGTGTAGTTCATAATGACAACTTTCATATAGCACCCAGATGATGACGCTTGTTATTATTGCTGGTCACATAGTCAGCCAGATGTTTAGACTGGATTTGGCATTTTTATCCGCCTATTGAGTCCTTCCCAAGGACCTGGGATAGGCAGACGCTGTTTGATGGTGTTAAAGGTATTGTTGCAGGATGTAAGCTGTTCCAAGTAAAGCTGCCTTTTGCAATTGATAGTTGGTGATTTTGTCAATGCTGATGGTGTTCAAGGGGTGCTCCAGATGTTTTGGCATTGCACCTAAGGCACCTATTATTATTAGTACTATCTTTGCTTTCTTTTGCCACAGTCTTTCCATTTCTATTTGCAGGTCTTTGTATTTTGTGATTTTCTTCAGTTCTTTCTCTTCTAGTCTGCTGTCTCCAGGTGTTGCAATGTCCACTACCCAGACTTTTTTGTCTTTTTTATCAACAATTGTTAAGTCTGGGGTGTTGTGTGGCAGGTGC